GATTCTCTAGAGAACAGAGTAGAACTGCCCCATAGGGTTTCCAAGACTGTCATCTTTATAGAAACTAACTGCCACATCTTTTTCCCATGGAGTAGCTAGTGGGTTCTAACCACCCACTTTCAGTTAGCAGCCAAGAGCTTAACCAGAGCACCAGCAGGACTCCTTCTGGCAGAGGGTACAGCAAATACAAAAGCCTGGAACTTTTTGACCCTCCTAAGTGAACTCTGTCTTGGACCACAGAGCACCCTCTTCTTCAAACTCCTTCAAAGAAACCCAAAAGCCCCCACTGCTTGTAATGGAAAGTTTTTGGGGCAGCGGTAGACAGGATGATTAATCAGTTATCTCAGAATAGAATCTCCTGGGCTTCACTTATCCCCTATCATCCCTTTCCTACTGTGTCCAAGCACTTGCTCTGGCCTCACCATGTCTTCTCTCAGTTCACAGGTACCAGGTACCCAGGAAGTTAGGACAGTGCTGGCTTTTGATCTAACTGCCGGATGCTTAGTCTGCTGGGGACCTAGAACAATGGGGCAGGACTGGGAGGCATCTGGACCAGACCATGATCACCCTCCTGCATGAGGGTGGAGAATGGCAGGAACAAGCAGATTTTCTGTGTAGGTAGATGTTGGTGAGCCAGAGGGACGGAGCTGGTCCCATTTACTGTCTGTCTGTTAAAGGGATCTGAGCCCAGAAACCTTTCCCATTTTGTACTTTCTGTCCTTACAAACTCTGTTTTAGAGAACCAGGAAGTTATCAGGGAACTCTTTTGTGCTTGCAAAAGTAGAAAAAGTCCCTCTTTCCAGGATAAGTATTTTTCTGTTTGAAACAGTTTTTTCACATGCAAAACTAATCTTTGTTTTTTTCTTTCTGATCACAAAAGTGAATTAAATTACAACAAAATATTGAAACACTCCAGAAGTGCATGCTTTTGAAATGAAAATCACCCCAGAGGTTACTAGTGTTTGCAGTTTAGTGTGTATTATTGCTCAGTTTATTTCAATGGAAATATTAATATTTTATTAAAAGTGGATTAAACTGTAGAATCCAGCAACATGTTTATCACTTAATATACATTGGATATTCTTCCTACACCAGAAAACGTACCTCATTCTTTTTGTCATCTGCATAGAACGCTGTTTAATATGTCCAAAATTGAACTCATGATTTTATCTCCATAAACTTCTTCTCTTCTATTTTCTTCTTGTTTTTGTTGTTGTCTTTGCCTTACTTTTATGGATAAATTTTATTGTGGTAATATATATATGTATTTGCCATTTTAATGATTTTTAAGTATACTTAAAATGCCTTTTAAATTGAAAAATGTATCATATATAAAAAAGAGTATATAAAATGTTTTCTGCAAGTGCTAGAATTTCTCCAGGGTATATACCTAGAAATAGAATTAAAGAATAACAATAAAAAGAGCACTTGTGTATCCAACACTTAAGTTATGAAAGAATATTTCCAGTACTTTAGAAGCTTCTGGATGCCTCTGTCTGGTTACATTGATCCTAAGTTTTATCCTAACCACTATCCTAAATTTTGTGTAATTATTCTCTTGCTTTTCTTTAGATTTTAACATAGACTTATCTATCCTCCTGTATTTATTATTTTGCCTGTTTCTGAATGTTATACAAATTATATGAATTCTTCAGTGGCAGCTTCCTTACTCAGCACTGATCTGAGAATCAACCATGTTGATGCATGTAGCTGTGTTTTATTTTCATTGCCATGTAGTGCCCCATTCTATGGCTCTACCACAAGTCAATTACTCAGTTTTCTATTGACTAGAAGAATTCACTAGTGAAGCCATCTGGACCTGGTGTCTGCTTTGTGGAAAGCTTAAGTTGATTCAAAGTCTTCAGTGGTTATCAAGTTTTTAGGATCTTTATTTCTTCCTCAGTTTGTTTTGGTGTTTCTTCTTTTTCTTTCTTTTTTAATTGTGATTGGGTGAAAGTTTACAGAGTAAACTCATCTTCCATACAGCAGCTCATACATGTTTTTTTCATGACATTGACTGCAGTTCCCCACAATGTAACAGCTCCATTCCCACTTCCTCCCCAAAGTTACCTCTTCTCTGTGTCCTTCCCTTCCATGCACTCCCGCTCTCTGAGTTATTTCCCTGTGCAAAACACTGCCCTTCTGTTCTCTCATGACTGATCACTCGAAGAAGCATATCTACCTGATGTAAATGTTCACCCCATATACCTGTCTGTTGTTTGGCTGGAAGCCGCAGGAGTGAGTACATTTCCAGACCTGAAGGGTAACTACGGGCCATAGTCTCAGGGGTC